AAGATTATTTGCATCAATGGTAATTTTTTAATTTCATTTTTTTCTTAATATTATTTTTGTACAGTTTTACTTTAATTAAATGCTCCATTAGCATAAAATTAGTTTAATTTTTGGCATGCATTTAAGAATTATATTGTTATAGAATGCTAAAGTCATTGCTATGATAAAATCTTAATCTTGAATATCTTTACTGTTGGTAGTTTGCAGGATTGAATTATCAAATGGCTTATATTTATTTTTCATGCAGGGGAGGATAATTAATATGACCTAAATGGATTATATAACTTGCTTAAAGAAAGCCTGTATATGATTCATCATTTTGATTTTAAGCGTAACAGGCATGATGTCTTCCAAACTTTCCTTCATAAAAGAAAATACCACAAGATATAGGTCTTTAATTGGGATTCCAATGCTTTCCTCTTTTGAAAAATTCTAATCAGTTGATAATGCTATGTTGGTGTACTTTCATTTTATTTTATATAGAGTCTTTTAGTTAGATTTACAGAATTCTTTTACCTTTGCCATTCTTATCATATTATGTACAATGACTGGTGTTGAAAGAATGTGAGAGGCCAAACCTAGGTTAAGGCCAAATATTTTCCCCTAATTCAACCAAATGAAAACACCATTACCTCCATCAATGCCAGCTGATCCTCCCAAAAAAGAAGAGGAATATGAAGAAAAAAAAAGGAAAAAAAGAAGACACTAAAAAGGAAGAAGAATAAAAAAAGCCAGAGAAGCTATAATAAAGGAATTCAAGTTCCTTGCTTACCTTAAAATCTCGCTTTAACATATCTAATAGTTGGTACTGCTGATATATATCTAAGCATATAGTTGTGGAAAGTAAAGTGGACTATTGTTGCAACTCAAACTGTGTTGTGATTTTGATCATCCTAGTTTGATAAATGAATTTTGAAAATTTTGAGGTACATGATTTAGAATCCAATTTTGTAAAATAAAGAAGATTAGATATGACTTCATTTAAGTGAACAAATTTGGTCTTGCGGGATTCATTTTAATAAGCATATAAATTCTATTCATTTAGTTTTGATCCTTATAGGTTTTTGTTATATCATGTTGTTGATGGTTCATGATGCATTGATCATATGTTTTGCAAAAAAGGTCAATAACAATCCTTTTAGATTTGGAGCTAGTTATTGCATGACATAGTTTTATAAATTGTTTGTGTAAATCTCTACCTTGCATTTTTTTCCTTTTTTTCTTTTTAATTTGTCTTTAATTGTTTTGACAAAGGTTAGTGGATTCCGCTATCGTCGTTGAAGAACTTTGGTAGGGTCATAAAATCCTTATCTTTGTCTTTTCGTTTTCCTTTTTACATTATTTAAAATTTTATATTTCTTGGGTGATAGTAATTTTTATTTTTTCAAGTGGCTGGTTTTAGATTATGCAATGCTTAATCACAATACAATTTTGTTTTTCAATTATTTCAAACCTGAAACTGTTATTTTTTGCAGATCACTCAACGAGGTGCAACAAAAAAAATGTTTGCTTATAACATAAAATAGATAAAATCAAATTACTCAAATGATATTCTAACTTGTGACAATCCTCTTACTGATGCTATTACTACTCATGGCAAAAACAAGGTAATTATGTCCTTACATTTCAATTTTTTCCAATATGGCTTTTCTTCTTGTGAAGTAACAGTTTGAATATTTTGCAATTGAAAAAGGTAACTGAACGGGTTTGACCTTCAATCATTCCAAAGGTAGATAAAAGAAATTCATTGTTGGAACAGATCAGAGCCAAGGTTAGACCCAGTTCCATTAATTAACATTATTTTTCTTCTTCTTTTTAAATGAGGGAAATGCTTCTGTTGGATAAACCGAGAGGCTAATTTGAGACAGCTTCTTTAAATTCTAATATATACTTAGAATTTTTTTTATTTCACAAGTTATGACCTTTTTTATAAAAAAAAATTAATAGTTGAAGTTGTTGTGATTACATAATTAGATCTTTAATAATTTGTTTTTTTCCAAAAAAAGACAAGGTACTTTATGAGAATTGGAAACTTTATATTACTATTAAATCTGAGTTATGTTTTCTAATTTTAACGTTTAATATTAGGCAACATAGGAGAATTTTGAGTTGGCATTGGCAACTGATAATTTCAATACACATGCTAGGTATTGGTTATCCAAATTGCATTTGAAGTACCACGTTCCTAAGGCATGTAAAGCCATGCAAGTAAAGTTATTTACTTTATATTTACATCTTGACATAATTGCTTAGTTACTGTATTGAATTATAAGAGCTAAGAATTCAAAATTTTTCTTGATCCTCCCCCCTTTTTATTAGCTAAATTGATTGAAAGTATGATGGTTTAGTTGTTGATGCATTTGAAATTTTCAATGTTTTTTAATGCCCGTGTTTTTTATATAAGATTTATGATATTTGACTTTCATATTAACATTTTTTTTACTAAGCTCATATGGTTTCTATTACATGTTAGATTAAATTATATATATGGATATGAATGTTAAAATTATAGACTTATTAGGATAGAAGAGTTACTTTGATAGTAGAAGTTGTAGATATGAATGTTCTAGATGCACAATATGAATTAGATTGTCGTTTAAGAGTTAAAGTTAGGCTATTTTTTCTTAAAATATTGTAGTTTAAGCAAATTGTAGCTATAGACGTTGATTAAATGAATTTTTTGAACAATACTCTTTTAAAGAGATAACCCTTGTGATCTGTTACTTCTTTTGCTAATGATATCTTTTCCTTTATAATATTTTGACTTTTTTTTTTTTTGGATAGAATGACTATGCCCAAGCACATCAATAAGCTTTCTATTATTTGGAGAAAGCTATTGACCAAGTAATTTCATTTAAAAATCAATCATATGTGGTACTTTTATGATATCTCCAAAAACCTTACTAAAACTCCTTATACTATAGTTGCATCTAGGTACTCTTTACCTTCTAGATAATGTATACTTGACAGGAGACTATTAAGAAAGATATTATTTCAGTATTATGATGTTTCCATAAAGCATCAGAGAAGGTAAGGTTACACATGGATCTTCGATGGTTGGAAATTCTTCCATAACCGTTAAAATTGGATTTTGGATATGTTGAGCGAGGATTTGATCTAAATAGATGACAATCTCACTAATATTTTGTACTATAGCTTTGGATTATATATATTTATACATCTTTTAGATTGTCTACTAATTCCCTAACAAAGCAAGGGTTCCATATTCTCCACCAGCTCAAAGCCCTGGCAAGGGCCCTTCCTCTGTGCTGGTTGTTGCAATAAAAGGGATGCCATGGAAGGAAACGCCCAAGTGGAGTTAAAGTGGCATGCTTTTCCTATTATTTATTTGCCTCATTCTTTGTCCCTCAATTCTGTTTCTTTTCATAGCAGTCCTTTACTAGGCCAGGCAATTGTTTGAATCTTACTACAATGTGCAAATGTATGTGTAATCCCAGTGAATAACAATGTAAAACGAGCTTATCATTTAAGAGGTGGCAGTCTAGTAGAATATGCAATATCAGCGATGGGGTAGCATTAAAGCCCTGCAATTTCCAAAGCCAGCTAATATATACATAGATTGATGCTTGGGTTCATAAGAGCAATTGCAGTATGGTTTTATCTCTTGATCGCCCACGTTTAGTTCAGTTAGGCTAGCTTCAATGCGTATAGCTTGTTGGTTATCATTACAATCTTGCAGTCTAGTAGAATAGAGCAAGCAAGATGACATTACATAACGATCTAATTAGTATACAGGGCTGTTCAAGACTAAAACCCTCCCGACAAAAACCAAGCCCAGAATTTCGATTTTAACAGACCAAGCAGGGATCAGTCTCGGCTTTGGCACTATGTAAGTGCTTTGAAATGATACTTGTCACTTCAGTCATAAGAGTAGAAAAAGAAGTAGCAGAGTGGACACAAGCTTTACCATTGACCAATATCACCATTTGAATTTCCCTCCACAACCAATTGCAGCTATAGAATAGAAAAATGGACATAACCTATAAATCTTCTACATAGTGATTTGAATTGTCTTTGCTAAGTTTGTTTTAGTGCTTTGTCTACCAAGTAGCAAAGTTTTAGTTAAGCATAATAAACAATTCTGAGATGAGTTTGAAAGTTGATACCAGTAACTACAACTCCTTAAATTTTCATGCCAATCATCATAACAAACTTATTGTAATACAAATATCTTGACTTAGAGTTTTTTTTCTCATTTTTTCCTTTTTTTTTTTTTTTTTCTTTTCAAAAGCTTTTCAAAAGTTATGGGATGTAAGACTTAGTTTGTTGTTTTTTCCTTTGAAATGCAACATTGGTGTACAAGAGATTGACTAGAATGCTATTGGCTAAAATATTAAAAATGACCATTAACTTTTTCATTTTTTATAATAAATTTTTCTTTGCTTTTTTATGCAGTTGTTTTTTCTTAACTTTTAATTTGTAGTTAGATAAACTCTTTATCCAATAGAAAGATTATATACTGCACCTAATGAAAGCCGGCATTTTTTCCTACACTTGAAAGCTGACATGGACAAAACTTTATTGTGTAAAACTAACATGGCATTGACAAGCAAGCTAGCAAGGCCAAAAAGAATCTAGTTAATAACTACTTAAATCTCACATCCTAATGTATATAACTAACTAAATCTAATTATTTTGTAGTTAAAAAATCTAGTATAAATATATATATATATATATATATATATATATTAAAGAAGATGAAAAAAATAAAAACAAAAAAATGGAAAAATAAATTATGAAGGATACATTTATCTTTTCATTTAATCTTTTGTTTGGTGAGAAGGTTAGGAAACCTGTTAATATAATGGTTAAAATTCATAACAATTTATCCACTTTTATAGCTTAACTATTAAATTAACAACTTTTTTATCATTACTCCTTTCTATCCCTTCCACCAAGCTTAGTATTAATATGTTAAATTTTCCAAAGTAGGAAAGTACTTTTCAAATTAATGAAGATAAGTGTCTTTTTTACCAAGCTTCAATAGGCTTTTGTATTTTGCCCATTTGTTTATTGATTGCTAACAAAATAGATACTCAATACAAGAACAAAAGTTTTGATTTAGGATCAATCAAGGCTAGGTATCAAACTCAAGCAGATGGGTCCTTGTGGCATATATTTATTATTTCTGCTTTCTTCTTCTTGTTCCTATTATTATATGAAAAGAATCAAATACACATGAAAAACCAAGAAAACCAATGAATGCAGTTAAAAACTAAAACCAATTAATGCAAAATTTTGTATAAAACAAAATAATATGAAGAGCAGCATCATTTTGATCAAAATCACTTAGAAAATTTATCACCAAACCGCAGCACTAGGTGGCAAGTTCCTTTTCTAAAATAAGGCTTATTCAGATTCACTTTCTTCCTCGTAAGATTCTTCATCACCAGCATCTGGTAGATACCCAGCTCGTTTCATCTGTTTTATGAGGGTATTCAAAACTGAATACATTTCTTTCCTCTGACGATGTCTTTTATCTTTCACCATGAATACATTTACATGACCCTGTATCTCAATCCAGCTACAACCAGGTTGCTTGATTACTCCACGTTTTCTCATCAACTTCCTTATTCTAACAACATCTCCCCATCTTCCAAGCTCAGCATACATGTTTGAGAGAAGAACGTAAGGTCCAGAGTTGCTAGGATCAATTTCTAAAAGCTTTTCTGCTACATAATTCCCTAAAGCAATGTCACGATGTATTTTACAAGCACCAAGCAGAGATCCCCAGACAACAGCATCAGGCTTCATCGGCATTGTCTCAATTAAATTCTTTGCTTCTATGAGGCAACCAGCTCGACCAAGTAAATCAACCATGCATGTATAATGGTCCTTCAATGGTACCAAACCATGTTCCCTGCTCATTGAGGAGAAATAATGTCGCCCTTCTTCAACTAACCCAGAATGACTACAAGCGCAAAGAACACCAATCATAGTGACATGGTCTGGTTTCTCCCCAGATTCTAACATATTCTTGAACAATTCAAGAGCCTTATTACCATAACCATTTTGTGCATATCCTACTATCAAGGCATTCCATGATACCCAATCCCTTTCCATCATATTTTTGAAGACCTGGTCACCATCTTCAACTGATCCACATTTCATGTACATGTCTATGAGAGAGTTACCCACAAAAATAGATTCTTCTCCAAATTGAAAGCGAAAACCATGCTTCAAAACATGTGTGTGAGCCTGTCTTCCAAGCTGCAAATCAGCTAGATTAGCACAAGCGTTCAGTAGATTGCCATAGGTATAATGAGTTGGCCACACAGAATCTCTCTTTAAGAGGCAAAAGAGTCTCAGAGCCTCTTCATCCTCTCCATTTTGTGTATAGCCAGCAATTAGCGCATTCCAAGACACTATGTTCCTCTCCATCATCTTTGTAAACATTAATCTCGCTGTTTTCACACTGGCTGCCTTTGCATACCCACTTACCATTGAGGTCTCAGACACTACATTCCTAAGTGGCATCCTATCAAAAACACATCTAGCTTCATTGATTCTACTGCATTTTGCATACATATCAACCAATGCGTTGCACAAGACAAGATCATCCCTCAACTTATTGCATTTCACAACACGAGCATGAATCTGCCTACCTTCCTTGATTGCTGACAAACTAGCACAAGCACTAACCACACTGGCAAACGTATGCTCATCCGGTTCAGTTCCACAATCCATCATCCTCAAGAAAACCTCAAGAGCTGCACTAGCTGGACCATTTTGCTCATAACATGTGATCAAGCTATTCCAAGACACTCTATTCCTATCAGTCATATCATTGAAAGCTCTCTGGCCACAGCTGACACTCCCACATTTTCCATACATATCAACAAGAGCCGAGCCTATATAAACATTGGAAATGAAACGAGTTTTCCATATTAAAGCATGGACTTGAGTACCGATTTTCATGTCCTTTAACCCAGAACAAGCGCTAAGAGCACTACCAAACGAGTACTCATTGAGCACAAAATCCTCCCTATGCATCATAACAAAATAGTAAAGAGCTTCCTCACATCTATCTTGCCTAGCAAAGCCTGAAATGATCGAATTCCACGTGCATTGATCATGCTCAGGCATCGACCGAAAAATCCCTACTGCCTCGTCAACGAAACCCAAGCTCGTCAACGCAGTTATGATCGAGTTCCAAGAAAAAATGTTTCTTTGAGGCATTCTGTTAAACACCTTCCGGGCATCCTCCAAGGAGCCACATTTGCCATAGGCATCAATAAGCCTGTTGAGGATAAAAGTCTCTGACGCAAAATGGGATTTGATGATACGTGCATGTAGGCGACACATATCAAGGAGAGACTTGGATTGGATGTATGAATCCAAGAGCTTAGCAAAAGGAGAAGAGTCAGGCACTGAAAGATCACCCACAATTTGATTGAGCAATCCACGTTTCGCCATTCCATTATCTTTGAAGAAATGAGGCTGTTGGGCATTGTTCTTTTGTTATGGTTTTTGCATCTTCCTTACCATTGCGTAGCAAGCCGACATGTTTGCAGCTTGTAAGGGAAAATACAAATGATGCGAACAAAGTTTTATTTTCCACTGAAAAGATTTCAATGACTAGAAAGAGCTTTGGCGAGTGAACTTACCAACAACGACATGCTAAATTAGTTGGGAGGCTGATTTTGATAACTGAGCAACAATGTCATTTGAAATGAAACGAGGCTGTGCTTGTTTTATTTTGGTACAGAGAGGAACATTGTGTTCAACAAACAGCAGTAGTGCCACAACATATCCTTCGTGTCTTGTATTGTAGATCGAAAGGTGGATAAGATAAAATGATAATTATTTTAATTATATTTATTTTATATTTTAAAAATTAAGATTATAAAAAAGATTAATTATTTTTTTAATAAAATAATTTAATTCTTTTAAAATGAAAAAGATTTTTTTTATTTTATAAAATTGAATTTATATATTTTATTATATTTTTAAAAATTATATCAATAATTTAAATTATAAAAATTTTAAAAAATATAATTTTATCCAATAAATAAATTATTTTATTTTAATTTTTATATATATCAAATATAATATAAAATAATATTATTTTATTTTATTTTATTTATAATATTATGTTATTTTATTCTATTATAATATTATTTATCAAACACGTCCGATTGTCTATTCTCTTGAAACTTACAAATCTATCAATATAAATATGATTGTCTAAAAAATGGATTTATTATTCTATATTTATTGTTTTATTATTTTATAATTGTATCATCTTATCATATGTTTTAAGTAATTCTAATTATTTAAAAATAAAATATATCATTTAAATTAAAAACATTTTATTAAGAATTTAAAATAAAGTTTTTTTTTTTTAATTTAGAATTACATTAAAAATGTAATAAAATAGTAAACTTATATAAAAACAAGCAAAATAATAAATTTGAAACTTACAATCTAAGACAGTGATAAATCTGATACTTTTTCTATAAAATGTAATTCTAAATTCAATTCTCTCTTAGGTCTTAGGTTATTTTATATTACCAAAGAAACGTGATTTTTATGTTCCTTACAAAATTAATGTTTTGGTTAAATTAGCTTTGCAAGTGTATCAAATCAATTCCAATTTATCAAACTTGAAAATCCTTATTATTTATTTTTTTCAAAACCCCGACCACTTTACTTGCAACCTTTGCTACCACCTTCCCTGTTATGTCAAAGGTTAGCAATCCAATATGAATTCATCATGTTCTAACTTGATTCAAATTTATAGAGTTGATGTTTTTTTTAAATTGAGTTTTAAGTAGGGTTGAGTTTTTTTTTTTTTTTAAGTCAAGATCAGATCTAGATGCAGATTCACCTCGATCTAACCCAATATATATATCAATAATATTTTTATTATTTATTTTAATGTTATATTTATATATATATTATATTTTTATATGTTTTAAAAAATAATATTTTATATTAAAAAATAATATTTTATTAATTTTAAATCGTTCAATTGTAATTTTATGCATATACGGGTCAAGTCAGGTCGAGTATAAAAAAATATTATTTTAATATTAGGTTAGGTTGGTTTAAAGCGAGCAAAAACCCACCCTAACTTGACCTATTGCCATATCTAATTACGTCTTGATTTGCCTTCGCTATATATTGAAGCTTTCAGTTGCACTACCACTACCCACAAACTCACTATTGTTATAGCTCGTTTCATCCTCACCTTTTTTTTTTGTATATTTCTTCTAATTTTATCTTCAAGACTTAATAGCACATATGATTTCTAAACTTTGGGTCATATTCTATATTGGTCTCTAAACTTTAAAAAATTCTAATTGAGTTTTCAATTGTCTAAACATGTGTCAATGTGGTCCATCCATTTGTTGGACCATCAAAATTGATGATAAATCTTATGTGGCATGACACATAATCTTCCAAACTTGTATTATGTGAAATTTTTCAAAAGTTTGAACAGATTACGTGGAAGAAAACCAAAACTTGTTTTCTCTCTTTTTTTTTTTCTTCTCCTCATTCTCCTCATTTTCATCACTAAACTTTCCTATCTTAATCAAATCCTCACCAAACTTTAACCTTTGCAACTCCATAAGTTTCTTTATCAAAAGCCAAAACTTTCATGTCCAAATCTTTATCAAAGGCCACAAGTTTCTTCTCCCCACTCTCCCCCATTCTCTAAGTAATGCCTCTACAACTTCTTTGCATCCAAAGTAACCAATTTCAAGAATGCAATCAAAGGCCAGAACTTTCATATCCAAATTCTTCGATTCCAACAAAGTTAAAATTTTGAAAACTTTTCCATTATTGACAATTTCATTCACAAAAGGAGATTTAGTAAACTTAATCAGTTCAAACAAAACTTTCAGACAAAAAACAACTATACAAAACACTACGTCTTTTCAGATCTATTTTTTACAATTCGGGCCACAAAAGATCGATTGTAAAACCAAAAAGGCTTTCGATTTTGGGACTAAATTCTATAGCAAGTGATTAAACCCTTATGAGACTCAATCTTCAAATTAAGCCAATAATCAAACCAACTCATCTTCGCTCTTTCATGGCTCTTTAAACCCTTTATCATGTTTTCAATGCTTTCAAGGTCAATCCAGGATTGAATCTCATACTCAATTGAACCGGTGACACAGAAGATAAAGTGAGTCGAGACTTGACAAGTCAAAAAGCTCTTGAGCCATAATTACGAGTATTTTTTAGGGTTTTGACAAGGATTTTAAGGTCAACAAGGTATTGGAAAAAAGTATAGAGATGTGGATTTCTAGAGAGGATTGAATTGGACTCTGTTTCAAGCTTAAGAAAAACTTTAATGACAGACAGATGATAGGTGGTCAAACTTTATTTTTTTAGTTTTTTACCTTTTTTGTTTTATGATTTGTTTAAAAACCATAAAAAATTCCACATAATCTATTCAAACAATAAAAAAAATTCACGTAATACAAGTTTAGAAGATTATATGTCATACTACGTAGGATTTATCATCAATTTATACGATCTAGTAGATGGAGGGACCATATTGACATGTGTTTGGACAATTGAGGATTCGATTAAAATTTTTCAAAATTTAAAGACCAATATAGAATTTGATTCAAAGTTTGGGGACCACCCATGCTATTAACTCTATCTTCAATTCAATTCTTTGATTTTCATCTTAAAAGCATGTTGTATTTATGGTGAACATGTTTCAAGTAAAATTATCTTTGGCTTGAAACTTGAAATGGATTATGCGACCTATTAAAGTTCTAAACAAGTATGCCATTTGATTTATTAAATTAAGGTATTTTAATATTCATATATAAATTTTTAAAATTATGATAACAAGCTACATTTTGTTATACATTGGAGAACATAATTCATCTCTTTCATTCTGTTAATATGTCACATGTGCACATATAAATCTCTGGCCTCTACAACCAAATTTGCCTTTGCTTCTTTTTCCTCAGTCCTCACTTTTTTCCATCATACCTCAATCTTTTTTATTTTTCAAAGACTTTTAAATTTTGAGGTTGAGAAGAGTTTTTAAGTAAATTTTGGTGAATTTTAACCCTGACGGATGGTGTTAATAATGGTTGATAGCTAAGTTTTAACATGAAAGAATGGAAAAGTAAAAAAAGAAAAAAAGAATTAGTTTTATACAAGCTAAAAATAGTGCACTTTAAGAAAGAAAAAGAGAGATAACAAGAAAATAAATAATCTATGTCATCAGATACCCAATAAAAATGGTTAAATGTTTAATTTAAGATTTAATGTTGTGACATTTTCTCAACTGTGGATATCATCTTTTATTTAATTCAATTTAAGATTAAATGTTTTCAAGTTGGTTCAAAACAGGACTTCATAACGTAAGTGTGATGCATGCGCTATTAAAGTCTAATATTAACCATTAAGTTATTTTTTATTATTACACATGCTAATTCCTTCGAAAACACATTCCTTAGCTTTTCCACAACTTAGTCAAAAACCTATTCCCAAGCTCTTCCACAACCTAACCTGTCTCGACTCGCTGAACACGCCACCACTAGCCCTATTAGCATTTTTATATTGAAGACAATACCTAAACCCATTGTTTCTGCTAAAATCGAAACCCATAGCACTAAAAAAAAAAAAGAAAACAAACAGATAAAAAAAATCCATTGCCAAAAAAACCCCACCATATACATCATAACAATCACCAAGCAACCCTCATCATTTTGCCATTGTCACTGCACACCACCACATCTAGAAACCACCTTTCGTAACACCTAAGCTACAACCATCAACCAATAGCTATACTCAAAAAAAAGAAAACCAAAACTTTTTTTGCCTAACAACAAGAAAAAACTAAAAAAATACATAAAAGCAAATACATCCCCCAAAAAGGGAATAGCAACGTGAAAAGCAATAGGAACAACAAAAAACAAAAAATAGTAACAAAAAGGGGGAGGCAATTTTGGATTTTAAATGCTTTAGGTTGTTTTGGATTTAGATTTTTGGTGAAGAGGGGGCCTCAGCTTAAAAAAAAAACACATATTAGAAGGAAAAAATGTTTGGCTAATAAAAAAAAGTATTTTAAAGTTTTAGACTGCGACTTTGGATCTAAATCTGGGTAGTTTAAAGCTATTTTAAGCAAAACCAAGCACAAATCTGAGACGAGGAGGTTGAGAAAGTATCTGGTGAAATTTTAGAATTGAAAGGTGGCTTGCCGACGGCGGACGATTGCTGCTGGTGGTGACTGGATGATAGCCAGCGTTGTGGTGACAATTGGAATCTAGGTAATTTGGTTTCGAACGGGTTCCATTTTTAAATAGAGATGTTCTCTTTCTTTCTGTTAAAGAGAGAAATAAAAATGTCAAAAATGAATGAAAATTTTTCTTTTAATTTTTATATTAGAAAAAAAATCATTCTAGTTTTACGTGCGTGTGTCACACTGCATGATAGAGTCCTATTTGAACTAACCAAGAAACGTTTTAATCCTACATTAAACCAAATTAAAAATGATATCTTTAATTGAAAAAGGTCTAAATGTTAGATTCTAAATTAAAATATTTAGCCAATAAAAATAAACTTACATTTGTCACGTAAGCATAATTAACACAATGTGAACCTACCAACTTTTACATTAGATAAAACAACTATAGAGTTTTAACAAATTAACATTTGATCTAAAATTTAAAATTTTAAAAAATAAAGAGATTTGATTTTATTAAATTATTGTATGGTGATTAAATCTTGATTTTGACTAGAATACGAAAAATAATTTTATAATTTGGCTCTTTTATGTAACTTATGAGCAATAATCTAATTTTTTAATATATTTTTAATTATTAAAATATTTGAATTAGGAGTATTTATTTACAATAATTGTAATATAATTAATCAATTATAGTTTAAAATTATGTTAAAACTATTAAAATTTTAATATGGAATCCATACTTATAAGTGGTGGACCTTTATATAATTTTTATTATGATATGACAATTGTAATATTGTAATAAAAACAATTATATGTGAAACACTCTATTTTGAATCAATGTAATTTATTCTTTAAAGTTTTTTCACAAATAAGTTATCTTTATGAAAACTCGTGGTCTGTTTTATTTTTTTCATATATAAAAAATCTTAAATATTATATTTTAAAAATAATTATATGAATTAATTGAATTAAATTTTTAAATATAATTTGTTGTGATTTTCAATTACTAGTTTTTATAATGATATTAGATTTGACAATTTAAAATACGATATGGTGACAATATATAAAAATAATATTAAAATGAGACATGAATATAGCACTATTTAAAATTTTAACAAAAATCATATGAGTTTAACAAAATTAAAAAATTATATTTTATATTTTTATACTAATATGAATTATGATATATAATTTTTTATATAAAATATAATATAAATATATAAATTATAAATATTTTATATAAAATTAATATACAAAATACTAAATATAATAAACAAATTGTTAGTGACCTAAACGCTCTTCCTAACTGCTACGAAATAAAAGATGCACAATTTGAAAGTTTTCGGCCCATGGCACAGTTCCGAAAGGGTCCTACAGCCCGCGCCGAATCTCGAGTTCGGAACAAAAGGCTCCTGTCCCAATTCAAAATTACAACTATTTTTCTTTTCTCTTTGTTTATTACATTATTTTATTCCCTTGTTAAAATAGCTTTGGAAAATGGATTTGTAATATGTTTTACTTGCCTCACATTGGAGACACAAAAATAAAGTCGATCCATAACTTTATGTGCATTACTTTGTTTTCACAATTAATGCCAACTTTTGACTTAAAAGTTATAAAATTTCTTCAGCATTCACCAAACAAATAGCAACACTTACCATTATTCATTTGAAATTTTGGTTTTTACATAATACAGTCCTTCCAAAGCAAATGCAAGTACAATACTCGCTGAGAGGATAACTCAACAGATAGAATCAAATTTGGCTTGATTATTTTATTTATGTAACATAAATTTTTTAATTTTAATTTAAATTTGATTTGATTTTTTAAAAAAGTTAAATTCATTATAATTAAATTTTATCAATTTCATTCATCAATTTTTAAAATTAGTTATTATTATTATTATTTATTGTTTTTAATATATTTAAATAAATTTATATATAAATAATTAATTTAGTTTATAAAAAGTTAAAATTTATATAAAAACTAATAGGAATATTATTAAGTTCAATTAAGATATTTTTTATTTTTTATTTCATTATCCAAAAATTAATCTAAACCAAATTGAAATATTTAATCAAAATTAAATTGAATAAAAAAATTGATTTTTTAAAAAATCGAATACTAAAGTTGCATATAAACTTTCGATTTTTTCAAAATTTTCTTCAACCCTAACCATCACAATTGATTAACTTAGTTGGTAAAGAAAGGAATTCGCTTTTCTTATCAACACATGTTCAATTCTTGTGGAGAGCACAGAAAAAATTGGTAATGTAAAGGGAGTATACCTTTTAAAATTATTTGAAGAAAGGGTTAGGTTAAAATAAAACCCAAAAATGACCTTATTATAAAAATGTGAATAGAATGAAAATTAAAAATAAGAAAATATATCGAAAAATAAAAGAAGCAAAGAAGCTTACTAATTTGTCTATTCTATTCACTCGACTTATATGTATATTTTTTTTATAAATTTATCCATTAATCGAACTATCACCAATCTCGAAAGTTTGGCTTGACTCAAGTTAATGTCTTGGACAAACGTTTTTTTATGTCAATTCCATTCGATTTTGTCTTTGATATAATTTTATTAATAAAAAATTATTTTTATTTAATTTTAAATTAAAAATATATTTAAAATCTTAAAATATTAATAAAAAATATTTTTAATATTTTAATAATATTTATAAATTGAACGGACTTAAGTGAGTTAGGTCAATTAGACTTGATTCAACCATACATACTCATGACGACTTTAATTTTTCATCAAATATGATGTATTTAAGTTTTATTACTGTCACTCGAATTTTTTTAAATAAACAATTAAAATTTACCTAAGATGAACTATTCAGTACGAAGTGGAGAAAATGATGACAGACAATAATGGTTTCATCGATAATTTGACTTAACTTTGTAATGCAAAGAGGCAAAATGTTTGTCTTCTTGTAATGCTCATTTTAGATTTTTTCTTTTATTAATATGTAATTTAACTCTTAAATTATATTATTTTTAAAATTTTATATTTATAAAAAATTTCATGATTTGATATTCAATTTTTCTTTTATTATATCATTTGGCTTAGATCACAATTACATTAACGATATATTGATGTGTAAAAAAATCAATGAATAAAATGATGTAAAATGTTTGACCGAAGCAAAATTAAAGTTGAAAATTGAATTTTTTTTAATAAATATCAAATCAAAAAAAGTTTCATAATTCATAAGCCAATTTATACATTAATTTTTTTTTTTGGATTATTCAGCATTTCCATTTTCCCATTTGAAAATTTACCCCCAACTATTCTTTCAGTCCTCGTATATAAATCTATTGTTTGGTGTGTCATTAAGTTGAAGAATAAAGTCTCAATCGAAAGATTTCTATTAATTAAAGTTGGAAATAAAAGTATCACATAGTTTATTATCCTTCAAATTTTTTTTTTGTATAATAATATTTTGTCCAATATTAATTGGATGATTTGATTTTTTTTTTTTACCAAGAAAACATGTGTTAAAATTTTAACATCAAATTTAATAAATATTATTTTTTAAAAATATTATACAAATTAACTAAACTCTAAATAAAAAAAAAAACTTTTATTCATGAAAACCTTTTTCTTTTTCCTGAGTAATCAATGCATATTATAGCTATTTTTTAAGAAAAAAATAATATATATGAACATAATAACAAGGTGTTTTATTGTAATCATCCACCTGCTGGGAGTTTTAATGTTACACTCAAAACCCCGATGGGTTTAGCAAATTAAAGCATGCAGCAAGAAATGACCAAAGTTCCAAACAATGAAAAGCAAAAGGAAAAGCGAAAAAGCTGGACAACTTCGAGAAACCAAGTTCATCGCTTTATTGGTGTCGTGGACAAGACTAAAAACACCCTTTTGCCCTCAAATACCCAAATTGTCCCTTTATTGGCCATCCCAAATCTCCATCAATCTTTACTTAATGGGCCAGTAATTTTTTCCACCCTAGATTTTTCATTTCATTTTTTCCGTCCTTTAACTAATTAACTGCTGTAAATACGACGTTTGAGGGGACGGCACGCGGCTGTCCCATATAACGCACTAACACAGAGTTCGAAATCGATCTGATCTCGGCCGTCCAATTTCATCAGACTCAGATTGAGACGGGAAGTTAATCCAACAAATTCATCAGATTATAAGATTAATAATAAAAAATGTTACAAATAATTAAAGAAAGCACGAGGACAATATTGTCTATCTCATCATAAATTTACCTCGCAGTACGCAATAGTACAACGTCACCGGCTTTTCAGGTCAGCCGGCTCGTTCAATCCATGTCAAAGAAAGAAGTTTCAACTTTTTAATACAAGTAAAACCCTTCGTTTTCCGCATTAATTACACTATCACCCTCTTCAACCTCTTCTTTACTTGTACTGTTCTAGTATACTCATCAGTCCACACTCAGCTTGAAGAAAAAAACCCTTCACTTCCCCAACCCTTACTGTCCGCTTCTCGCAGAGCAAAATATGGCGAAACCCCGCTTCCTAATCCCACATTTTTTGTTCTCTTTTCTTTTCTTCTTTCTGGTCCAAGTTATTCCAAACCCTGATTTGAAACCATTGATGGACTTCAAATCAGCTTCGGACAAAGCCAACAGGCTAACTTCGTGGAACTCAACCGCTGACCTATGCACCTGGAGCGGAGTTACATGTCTCCAAAACCGAGTCTCTCGACTCGTCCTGGAAAACCTTGACCTAACCGGCTCCTTCGAACCCCTCACTTCACTCACCCAACTCCGTGTCCTCAGTCTCAAACAAAACCGCCTTTCGGGTCCGGTTCCCAACCTCTCCAACCTCACTGCTCTCAAGCTCCTATTTCTATCGCACAACGAGTTAACAGGTGAGTTCCCAGCTTCGGTTCAGTCGCTGTTTCGTTTGTACCGTCTCGATCTGTCGTTTAACAACTTTACCGGTGAGATTCCCGTTACGGTCAACCGTTTGACTCATCTTTTAACGCTCCGGCTTGAGGAGAATAGGTTTTCTGGACCACTTTCCAGTTTAAATCTCCCGAATCTCCAGGACTTTAACGTTTCTGATAACAGGCTTTCTGGTGAAATACCCGAGTCTTTCTCGAGATTTCCGGAATCGGCTTTTGGTTCAAATGCAGCTCTTTGCGGGGCCCCAATGGAGAAATGTAAGAGCATTGAGAGTGACCCGAGAAAACCCGGATCCGACGGAGCATTGGCGTCACCGTTATTACCGGGTCGTAACCCAACTGTTGTAGCTTCATCCCCAAGCTCATTGCCCTCTACTGGAAACCTCAACAAAACCCCAAATTCTCAACGTCACAGTGCAGCCAAAATAAGCCCATCGGCTTTAATAGCAATAATTTTGGGCGATGTTTTGGTTCTCGCTTTGGTTTCTCTCTTGCTTTATTGTTACTTCTGGCGAAACTACGTTGCCAAAATGAGAGATGGGAAGGGCTCTAAGGTTCTAGAAGGAGAGAAGATCGTGTATTCTTCGAGTCCATACCCAGCACAGCCAGGTTTCGAGAGGGGAAGAATGGTGTTTTTCGAAGGGGTTAAGAGGTTTGAGCTGGAGGACTTGTTGAGAGCTTCGGCGGAGATGTTAGGAAAAGGTGGATTCGGGACGGCTTATAAAGCGGTTTTGGATGATGGAAATGTGGTAGCTGTGAAGAGATTGAAAGATGCAAACGTAGGAGGGAAGAGAGAGTTTGAGCAACAAATGGAAGTTTTGGGAAGGTTGAGGCATCCCAATCTGGTTAGCTTGAAGGCTTACTATTTTGCCAGGGAAGAGAAGTTGTTGGTCTATGACTACATGCCCAATGGCAGCTTGTTCTGGCTACTTCATGGTACGTTTCAGCTCTTCTCTTTCTCTTTTTTGATAAATTATTTTTTTTCTGATTTTTTGTATTACAGTTCGTTGGGATGCTAAAGAAAAAGATCTGAAAACATTTAGTAATTTTTAGTTCATTTCAGACCGAATTAATGATTTTGGTGGTTGTGGATATCCTATGGGAAGTGTTAATTTTTTAGGGATAACGGTTCTGGTGAGTGGGGTGGATTAGCCGCCGGCCAGATACAGATGTGGTGTTAAGGGAGGTTGGTGGATGGTGGGTCCCTGTTTATATATAGGATGAAGCTGGACCGTCGGATTCCTGCATTGCTTTCTTGGATAAGCAAGGCTTAATTTTGCAATTCTCTTTTCCAAACCGTGGTTGCAATTAATAATGTCAGCCGGTGAGTGAAGCGAGGAGAGCGGGTTTGCACCGTTCGGTAACTTCACACGGGGGATTTTTAATTTTACTGTTAGAGCTCCAGTCATTGTGGATAATTTTGTTTTAATCACTTTTTCTTTTTGTTTTTTCGCGATACCAGTCTTTGGCTCTTCTCCAGCGAATATGACCAAAAAGCGAAACGATAAACCCAGGACCATCCTTACCGTTGGATCATGTTGTATCACATCTTGGATCAAAATCATCCTTCACTTTCTTCAAACGAATTGACCCACCTGATTTTATTCGTCTACTTACATCCAATTTCCAGATTATGAATTTTGTTTTCTAGTGTCAAACGTGTAATTTTATTCAACTTGAGCCCTTTTTATTTTACATGTGATTGTTTACTTTTCCAACAGGGAACCGTGGACCGGGGAGAATTCCGTTGGACTGGACCACAAGGCTCAAAATAGCAGCAGGAGCAGCTCGTGGCTTAGCTTTTATTCACAATACATGCAAGACTCTTAAACTTACCCATGGTAACATCAAATCCACAAATGTCCTACTTGATAAATTAGGGAATGCACGCGTGTCAGACTTCGGCCTCTCCATCTTGGCATCACCCACCAACAATGCCCCAAGATCAAACGGTTACCGAGCCCCGGAGGTTTCATCAGATGGTCGGAAACCCACCCAGAAATCCGATGTGTACTCCTATGGTGTTTTGCTGCTTGAGATGCTAACAGGGAAATGCCCCTCCATAGTGGATAATGGTGGTTCAGGGTATGGCTACGGTGGGGCCGTGGATTTACCTAGGTGGGTCCAATCTGTGGTGAGGGAAGAATGGACGGCTGAGGTTTTTGATTTGGAGCTAATGAGGTACAAGGACATCGAGGAGGAAATGGTAGGGCTATTGCAGATTGCAATGGCTTGTACTTCTGCTTCACCTGATCAACGGCCTAAAATAAGCCACGTTGTCAAGATGATCGAGGAGATTCGTGGGGTCGAGGTGTCACCGTGTCACGATGCACCTGACTCGGTTTCGGACTCACCTTGCTTGTCTGAAGACACGTGCGGGGCAGTTAGCCAGTGACTATGAGTTTCCTTCATGTTTTCCATTGGTTGTTGGAAAATACTATTGAAGTTGATGTAATTCATGGTTTTGTTCGCTGTCTTGCATTTTAATGTTAGTTTGCACCATGGGTTTTATGCTAATTGAAGAGATTTTAAGAATTTGATTTATACAATGATTACAAAGTTCTTGTGGGCTTTAAAGAAGAAAAAAAGCTCTGTTTTCTCAAAGGATTAAAGTAGTATTTCTTCTAACATTCAAGTTGCAGTTGCTAATGTTGATAAAATAATACTGAGATGGGCTGGCAGGGGACATAGAAAATTCTTTTGTCAGCTTAAATCATGGAAGGATCTTCAATTATTTATGATTAGAGAATGTGAGATGCTCTAAATTAATCATCTTTTGCTGTAAGTGGCAGTATCGTGTGAGTTTTATATGAATGCATACAGAGTATTTCAGATCCAACTTTCTGCTGTAAGTCTAAACTGGAATCACGAAAAGATGTGAGGTTTTGTATTGATTCAGAAGCAGAAAATTGAGGCGGTCCCTTGTCATTTCAAATCATTGAGGAAATTAGAAGTTCGGGGCTTGAATTTTGTAGCAAAGTAGGAAGTGCGACGCAGCTTCGTGTTCATATGCAGACAAGGTCTACCTCCAAAATATATTGGTTTATTCAGCTTTAATGTTTGCCTCTAAGAAACCAGCATGGGGGGTCTACGCCATCGTCTCTTAATAAAGGAAAAAGTGCTAAAACCAAAATTTAATTCTAAGGAATATAAACCTTATTCTTTAAATACATTAATTAATGGATACATGAGCAATAATTAGTAGTTACCAATGGAAAGCCCTTCCACCTGAGAATGGAAACCAATTAAATCCACTGTATCAATAATAGGTATTGATGGAAAATAACCAAAATTGAGAACAAGGCAAAACATGTTCCTATATACCTTAATAACAACAAATTTATCATCCAAAAAAATTCTGTTTTCCTTTTATGCTTGGAGATATACTTTTGGGAAATAATTTTATTTATAAAATTTACCTGTTTGCTTGTTTTGAAAGTATAATTTTTACTTTAGATCCCCAACCTAGAGAAATACCTTTACTAAGAACATATAAATCATGTGATAATGGATTCAAATCTCAAAACATAGTATGGTTATAAAAGCTATTAATGAAAAACACTGACTATATCAAGTTTTAAATGAAAACTTTAGTGAAGAACCATTAAAGCTATGGTATAGAAAACTTGGATTTTGTAACTTACAAATTATCGATCCCACAAAAATTATTAGAGTCAAACTCATGATTTATACTAAGTAAGATAAGGATAAATTTGATATTCAAACAAAAGAATTATTAGCTAAAAGTCTAGTAGAAGAAACAATGAATCCTTATTTTAGTTCAGCCTTTATGGTAAAAAAACCATGCTGAACAAAAAGAGAAAAAGCTCGTGTGGTTATTGATTATAAAGATTCAATTAAAATTTAGTTTTTTATGAATATTTTATACTTGGAAAAGATGTACTTATTAATTTAGCAAAATATACTAAATATTATAATAAATTTGATTGCAAATCAAGCTTCTAGTAATTCATGCTTCTAAATGTGTCAAAATCACTAACTATATTTACTACCTCAAAAGGACACAATTAGTGGAATGTTATGCATTTTGAATTATGTAACGCTCCATAGATATTTCAAAAATGGATGGATTCTATCTATGGAAAGTATAAAAATTTTTATGTTGTTTGCATTGATGATATTTTAATTTTTTCTCAAATTTTAAATGAGCATAAAAAACATCTAAATTTTATAGCTCATGAATTTATTAGGACTTAACCTTTGAAGGAATTAAATTACAAGATCATATTATAATAAAAATAAAGAGCTTTCAAAAAAACTAGAAGATAAAAAGTAATTTCAATGTTTTCTAATACTTTTTATTTATGTTAAGACAATTCATAAAGAACCTTTCTAAAATGGAAAAAGGTTTTATTAGAAAGCTTAAAAAATGATATTCCTTTTGAATGAATAGAAAAAGATTATGATATTATTAAACAGAAAAAGTCATAACTAAAAGTAGTGCTTAAAGTTTATCTTCCTAAACCAAAAAAAACATTAATATAGGAAACTGATGCCTAATGAACATTGGAGTTTTGTTTTAAAAGCCAAAACACATAATAAAAATTAATATGCGGATATAATTCAAGAAAATTTAAACCAAATGAAATAAATTACATTACTTTTGAAAACAAATCACTTGCCATAAAAAAAAATGGGGTAAGTGGATTTCATATTTATTTAGTACTAGAACATTTTATTATTAGAATTGATAATCAAGTAGTTTGAGATTTCTTAAAAATAAAAAGACAGAAACTAATCTATGAAAGATTAAATGTACAAATTTTTTTATGTCAATATGATTTTTCTATTAAACATATTAAAGGAACTAACATCTTATTGCTGATATTCTTACTAGGCCTAATAGGAGATAAAGGTAAAAAGCCTCTTGAACATACATGAGAATGTGTTACTATAAAAAAGAAGCAATCTAAACAATGTTCCTTTTCCTTCCATGGAAATCCCAGAATTTCTAAACAAGGAGTATAGGTTCAGTCACTAGCACTAGTATTTCAATATCCTAATTAAGATTTCTATTTTTACGTTTCTAGTCCACCATAAGCAGTGCTAGAACTATATCGGTATTCATAATGGTTTTAAGGTCCTCATTTTATGCCAGTTTTTTATTCGAAGATCATTAAAAAACCAGAATTGTCATTAAAACCACAACAGTCGAAACCCATAAAAGATTTTTATAATATGAGATTACCTCTTGGATTATATTTCCAAGTTAATGAAGTCTGAATAGCCTAACTTCTAGACAATAAGTTAGCTTTTAGAAAAACCCGACAAAGCTTTCTGAATCACCAGGTAAACAAGCTAATGATGAAAAGAATTTTAAAAATCTTGCTTTAAAAAGTCATATTCTACGAAAGTGGGATAAGTAAGAAGAATTTGAACTAGACGAGATAAACAATCTACTTAGTTTTTGTGAATATTTTGATGAATAAACCATTCATCCTATTATTATCAAAATGCAAAGAATTTTGTTGTTTAAAAAAGCTCGAAAGTTATTACTTAAATTTTTGTCAAAATTTCAAGAGAAATCAGTAGGCAACATGGAATTCTTTTTCAAAATAAATTTCAATAATATTTTGCTCAAGCTTATATTTTTAATGATGTTATTTTTAAAGGAATGCTAAAATCAAAATTTAGGCTTAACCATGAACCATTTGATATAACAAGTATTGAATGGGGTTTTGTAGATGAAATAGTAGTTTAAAATTTTTCTTTTGAATTATCAAAAGATTTTTGTGTTTTTATCAGATAAAAAAAAATTTAATTTGGTAAAACAGGACGAATATTATGTATATATCCATATTACTATCACAAGCTTAAAAGGCATTTAAAAAATTTTATCAATTCTATCAAATTTGGGAAGCTAAAAAGGTTTTTAGTGGACCTTGTATCCTTCCTACCAGAGAAGATAAAGAAAAAAAAATGAAATATGCAATTGAAATTTACCAAAACCCTAGCCTATATTATTTATTGTTAGACATTAATCTCATGGAAAAAGCCAAAGAAATAATTTCAAAAGCACCTACCAGCAAAATTTCTACTGATGGACGCAAAATATATGTAAAAAATGATTATATTTCATATAATACTCATCAAGAATTTGCTGCATTGATACTTCCACAAAAACTCTATAGAGTAGAAGATATAAACTATAAAGAAGAAAGCCTTATTCAAGTTACAAGAAGAATAGAATCAATAGAATAAAGCAACCCACTAACTCTCAAGCATCTTTTAAACCTGAAGATAAATAGGGCTTATAAGAGGAATTGTGTATTAATATACATAGTATTAGCATCGAAATTTAAAAATTTTTGAACTCTTTAAAGCCAAAATCAATCAATAAGATCATATAAACACAACAATTAGTTTCGGCTAATAGTATATTACCTTTTATACCAACTTCATTTTACACTAAATAAGAGATCACCGAATTTTTTTTTGCAACCCTAGAGCTATCCAAATGTCCAATCTCTAATGATAATCCACATAACAAGGTGAAAAAACCTTCTACAAGGGATGGGAAGAACTTAAAACCGGAATCTCTAGTTAGTAAGATTAATCAATTGCCCTTTATGTGTTTTCTCTTAATTATTCCCAACACATAAGATATCTATTATCTTAGAATGCTACAAGAGAAGGGGCAACTGAAGTCCTTTATATAGAGACAAGGGGTAAGTAAAAACCCTAGGGTATTAGAGTTTTCTTATGCTTAATTCTATTCTTAATAGAATAACTCTTGACCAAGTCTTATTCTCAATAGAATTACTTACTTGGCTGGTCATAAAATGTCTCATTTAGTATTGGACTTTTGTATGTTTCTCTATATTGGATTTTAACCTAATAAATTAAGTCTAACTTAATTTATCCAAAATTTAATATTTCACAACATGTGCTATTGTGTGTGTAACCCATTAGGTTCTTAGCATATTGGCAATAAACATAAGCATTGTAATCTTTATTTTCGGACTTTGATGAATCAAACCTTTTGACTTCATTACTAATTCTCTAATGAGCCAATCTTATGTTTATAGATCATGATCAAAATTTTAGTTACATTATCATGACCTTCAATTACTAAAGAAAGTTAATGTGACTTGACAACCTATCCGTGTATGATCTTGATGTATAATTAACATACTTTCATCATCAAGTATCACGGCTGGAGTATTGAGTATGGTTTAATGTTTACTCAATTTTTGTTCAACCATGTTGAGTTTGTCATTGACATTAATTCCTAAATAAGCTTTAGAATAATTTTAAATTCTTATTTTACTTTAGCCAAAGATTTCTTAAGTTAATTCAATTACGACTAATTAAGATATTCTTTTGATCACATAAGGTGATGAATCCCATTTTGAGTACTTTATGGATCTTTATAAGCCTCATGTTATACCCAACTACACTTGATTGAAACAATCTTGGTTAGAACTATAGTAAAGTAAAGTTAAAATATAACACTCATAATATAAAATCATAAGTAATCTTTAGTCAAAGGATTACTTATGCAATCATGACAAGAAAATGTAACTATAAACACTATGTAAACTACCATATAACATTCTTATCTTGGGCCATGTTCTGTAAACTTATTCTTGCAATAAGCACCCACATGTTAGCTCAAATTTATCTAAATTTCAACTTATGAGATTGGTTGATTACTTCATAAATAAAAGTATAACCATATGTCAATTTCAACAGCTTTTATTAATATCTTTTCTTGACAAAGCATCGACTAGGAATAATTTAGGAATAATACTTTAATGTAA